AATAAACCCATTAAAGCACCAGGAAGCGACCGTAAGGGCTCAACATCCCCGACATTCCTGAGCAAAGTTCTGCTACCACACCGCAGTGCACAAGAAAGGGTACCACGGCGCTCCGAGAAAAGACCTCTTGAGCTTTGAGCTCTTGAACTTCCCAAGCCACTTCCTTTACCTTTTCGGGACCGTTGTCAATTCTAATAATTCTTTGAAATAGTCTGTCGATCATCTCATTTCTGCCCAATCCCTCATAGCTACTCCTCCTTCCCATATTTCCTGTGCAAAATTCTCGATAAAAAATTCACTCACAATACTCAACGACGCCCGGTCATGTATCGGTAGGCGGGCGTATCCTCGCTGTGTTTCGGCCTGTCCGAAACGTTGGAACGGGTCTAAACGGCGTTCGTACTGCGCACTGTAGTTGCTCTCTTCTGGTAGCGCGACACTCGTCTCGGAAGACTTGTTACCTGAAATATTTCAGCGCGTGGGTTCAGCTGTTGCTAACCACGGCGATTTCACGGTGATTTCAAGAGTTCAAAAGACTATTTTCGAGAATTCTTACGAGTCCTGAGCCAGACAATCGGATTTGTGCCAACTCTTGGCTGCCAAATAAGACCGATCTAGGGGAGCTCACAGCAGAACTAGACACGATATGGCAAATTCCGATCCTAATCATGTCATTCCCATCACTACAACCATTCTACTACCCGCTAACAATTTCATACCACCCCGTGCTCCTTACAAAAACAGCCAAATGGGCAGGCACAGCCTGCAGGGACAGCAGTCACAATAAAGGAAGAACCCAGCGCATTCCAACAGCTCACCGTAGCCTTGAAGGAACTTGATCTTTCCGTACAGCTTCACGTTGTCGTCGCGCACTTTCTCGATCTCCGTCACGAGCACGGCCTGTTTGGTCTTTTCAGCCATCAGCTCCTTAAAAGGTCTACAGATGAACTATCACTCCCAGTTGGCCTACCACTTCAGGAGATTACAAGAGACCTCTTCGAGAACGCCCACTCGCAGCTTCAGGCGATCTCTCTGCGCGAGGACAATCGTAAGCACGCTGTTCGTGTCGCCTTCCATTTTGGTGTCGTGGACCGCTCCCAGCATGTCCATCGTCGACAAATCCTCGACATCTTGGCTCTGAAAACACAATCGACCTGCTCTTCAACAACAGCTGAAGAAATAAGGAATAGCTGCAGAAATTATTACAATCATTAAACGAAACACTGGTTGGTTTGAGAGCTTGCGGTACCGCGTTAGCCATCTGCCGGTCCTGTGAAGTTCTTGGGCTTCAGAGAAGGTGATGCCACCAGAAGCCCAGCCAATAAACGGCCAAAAGACTCGTGAGCAGCAGTTTTAACAAACGGTACTCTCACGAAACTATTACCAGAACTCTCCGTTTGTTGTCATCACTGGGTCACTTCGAAAAAGAAATACCATTAATAATTACTCTCACTAGTGACTTACCCCGCTTTCATGAGATAATACATATGGGAGGGTGCTGAGCGAAGGGGTCAAAAAGTCACTTCGCGCCTTGCTTGTACCTCGCCCTCTGGTGTCAGCAGAGTTATGCAACTTTCAAAGACGAAATATCAAAATGCGTCCCCAGAACTGAATCCCGTTGATCCGTATGTGGGCAGAACAAGAGGGCTGGATGAGTGTACCCAACTGGAATCTCACCGGTTCTAGTATAATGGCATGTGCAAATTTACCCATTTATATAGCAGAAAACAGTAAAAACAAAAGAATGACAGCTGCTTATAATGGCCTCATTTAGAGATCGTGCCACAAATACAAATTCTTTTTGGGAAATGAGCGAGTTTGTTTTCCTGCCAATCAATGAATTTTGGCAACCAACAAGGTGCAGTTGATCTTCCGCCTTAACAGACGAAATTAGTACGAAATAATCGATTTCCGACCCACCCGGGATGAATGCTTCGAAGCCTAGCTTAGATTGGATTCCACATAATCGATATCTCACTAGCGGCCCAGGTCGTTTCCGACACGTACCGAGACTGCGCAAATCTAGGTGCCGGACAGATCATCAGTGGATGTGCATGCCTTGATCGTAACGAGCGGAGTTAGACAGAGTACCCGGCGATGAAGACGACGAAGAGAAGACTAGCGGGCCCGTATCCCGCGCGTTCCTCAAGATAGAACATATATACGTTAGCAAGATCAGGCGAATGGGCAATGACAATGACCAGGCGTATATCTATCGTTTTGTTCAGCGGTGCCGACCGAGTTTGCGAACCTATGTCCGAAACCGTCGGCAACACGGCCGCTCCCGCCAGTCAACCTCATTGACCGCATGGGTCTCGCGAGTGAATCGAAACCTGACCCGCAGTTTATACCATCTGATAGCTCTGCTCGAGATCTACAAGATGGTTAAATTCAATTTCTGAAAGAGCTCCATCTAGGATTGCGCCATGCACTCGACCTCCATCCCGAGAAGTAATGAATATACTTTGTATGTGATGCGCATATAAGTCCTCCTATGCAGCCTGATCATCCCACAGAAACATGGATCTCAACACCCTCAGAATACGCCACGTACCCAACCGGTCCACCATATGGTGAGATTGAATGAATGTTTTTTTTTCGAATTTCACGATCTTTAATTCGTTCTAGAGCGCTAAATTGGCTAACCCACGAGCCAATGATCAGAGCAGGATGAACCCGGAACATTCTACCTGACAGCTTTCAAATTGGAGAAATTCGAGCAGGAACAAGTTTCTCTAGGCTAGGTAAGTAAGCTAGAGCCATGCCTGCTGTGAGCTATTCCAGATCGCCCACATTTAGAGGAGATGATTTGCGGAAACCTGAGAAGATAGCCAGGAATCTCTCCACAGACGTAGACTCCAGTTACTTCTCTGTAAGATTGATGTAGAATATTTGGTCACGGGTAAGCGCTCCGTCCGTGGTGTGGCCCCAAACATCACTCTCCGTCATGCCCTAAAATGAAAATCAGAGTTTTTGCTCTTCCAGATGACTCTACAGAGCTGAGGGGTGCACACGCGTTCGCCAGCAAAAAAATGAAAAATCCACTAGCCGCAATGTTGCTACAACCAAGGTCCACGACAGAACCTTTGTTTTCCACTTTTTTGCTGCTCCGCATTTGCCGCAGAGTCGTCCCTCACCCTGCGCCGAGACTGCGATTTAGCGAACGAAAATGCTCTCCAACCGCAGAAAGAACGACGCTGTCGCGGGTCTAGCTGGAATCGCGCTAGGCAAAGGAGGCTAGAAGGTATTTGAGTCACATGGGTGAGAGCGTCGTGCGAGCGCGATAACCACAAACAACCATCTACTCCGTCATGCCCTAAAATAAAAATCAGATTTTTTGCATTTCCAGATGAACTCGCAGACCTGAGATGTGCCCCATTGGAATTCCCCGTGAAAAATGCTATCGAATGATATACATTACTCCTCCCAGTTGAAACTTTGGTTTTTCACCGTTTTCAGCCTTCCCCTATTGCCAATTGCGCATCATTATTCCACTATTACTATCCCAAAATCTCAAAGTTTCATTTTTCGTCGAAACTTTGCCTATTGGGGTAATTCGATGCCCTGATTACGAATATGACATTCATTCTCGTAGTGGGGCCCCAAACATCACACCTCGCCCCATTTTTTGCGACAACTTCAACTTTTTTTTGTTCCATGTTTAGAGCAGCTGTTATGTAGAAAGCTGTGAAGGCAGCGACAAATTTCCTTTACTGACGTAGACTACGGTTACTTGTCTGTAGGAATTACATAGAAACCTTGGTGGCAGGTGAGTCTTCCTTCCGTAGTGCGACCCCAAACATCACACCTCGTCATGCCCTTGCGATATGATCAGATTTTTTTGGTTCTCCAGATGAACATAGAAGACTGAGATGTGCACCATTCAATTCCCCATAAAAAATACTGTCGAACGGTATACAACTCACTTTCTGGAGAACATCTAGTTTACCTGCCACTAGATCCATTTTGTGACATTCCCCAATTTTCGAAAGGATGTTTTGAGGAAATTTCGAGAAGGGAGGGACGAACTCCTTCCTCTATCGTAGAGCGCTACCGCCCTCTCGTTGTTTGTTGGAAAAAGATGATACACTCAGGCTTGAGCGAGTGTTTCTTCCCTGGTGTGGCCTCAAACATCGCTCTCCGTCATTCCCTGAAATAAAAACCAGATTTTTTGGTCTCCCAGGTGGCTCTACGGATCTGTGGTGTACACCATCGCTCGATTCTCCATGCAAAATGCTATCGAACGATATACATCTCAGTTTCCCAACTTGACATAACTTCTATCGTCTCTTCACCGTATTTAGTTCCTTTTTCCTTATCGAATCGCACTCCTCAGCCTGGTTGGCCACGCCACAAATAACTGGCGCGCGCCCCACATCAAGTCGCGCTGTGGATCACTTTTCCCACGCTTTGGACCCCGCAATAGCGATGGTATCGATACAGGGCTGCCCGCGCAGCTACAAGGGAGACCACCACAAAGGCCATCGGGGTGTCACGGCTGAGCTCGCACGCACCGCACAGTGACATAGCAATCGTGGGTGGCCAGGCTGAGGCCAGGCGATACGGCGTCGTAAGAAGAAGGCCGAAAACGGTGAAAAACGAAAGTTTCAAGTGGGAACTGAGATGTATATCGTTCGATAGCATTTTGCATGGAGAATCGAACGGTGTACACCACAGATCCGTAGAGCCACCTGGGAGACCAAAAAATCTGGTTTTTATTTCAGGGCATGACGGAGAGCGGATGTTTGAGATTGATCCCACACCCGGAAGAACACTCGCCAAGAGCCCGAGCTGTTGCCCAATCTTCACCCATACCATACAATTAAACCACTCCTACGAAAATAGGGAGATTGAAAAGAAGGGAATGGAGAAGTGGCGCGCGCGGCAACGGGGTTGATGGGCGCCCTGTTCGCTCGTGAATTTCCCGCTGTCAAACGGACTCCAGCGGCAAAAAGACTGGAGCAGAAAATTAAGAGCCAGGAAGCTGTCAGCAAATTGATCTATGCAGTAAAGCTCAGATGTTCTCCAAAAAGTGAGTTGTATACCGTTCGACAGTAGTATTTGTTATGGAGGAATTGAATGGTGCACATCTCAGTCTTCTATGTTCATCTGGAGAACCGAAAAAAATCTGATCATATCGCAAGGGCATGACGAGGTGTGATGTTTGGGGTCGCACTACGGAAGGAAGACTCACCTGCCACCAAGGTTTCTATGTAATTCCTACAGACAAGTAACCGTAGTCTACGTCAGTAAAGGAAATTTGTCGCTGCCTTCACAGCTTTCTACATAACAGCTGCTCTAAACATGGAACAAAAAAAGTTGAAGTTGTCGCAAAAAATGGGGCGAGGTGTGATGTTTGGGGCCCCACTACGAGAATGAATGTCATATTCGTAATCAGGGCATCGAATTACCCCAATAGGCAAAGTTTCGACGAAAAATGAAACTTTGAGATTTTGGGATAGTAATAGTGGAATAATGATGCGCAATTGGCAATAGGGGAAGGCTGAAAACGGTGAAAAACCAAAGTTTCAACTGGGAGGAGTAATGCATATCATTCGATAGCATTTTTCACGGGGAATCCAATGGGGCACATCTCAGGTCTGCGAGTTCATCTGGAAATGCAAAAAATCTGATTTTTATTTTAGGGCATGACGGAGAGTGATGTTTGGGGCCACACCACGGACGGAGCGCTTACCCGTGACCAAATATTCTACATCAATCTTACAGAGAAGTAACTGGAGTCTACGTCTGTGGAGAGATTCCTGGCTATCTTCTCAGGTTTCCGCAAATCATCTCCTCTAAATGTGGGGAATGTCACATAATAGGTCTACTACTACTGCTGGAAACTGTTCGAAGATTCTCATTTGGAGTGGAAGAATGGGTTGATCAGCGCACGCACGGTTAGCCAATTAGCGCTCTAGAACGAATTAAAGATCGTGAAATTCGAAAAAAAACATTCATTCAATCTCACCATATGGTGGACCGGTTGGGTACGTGGCGTATTCTGAGGGTGTTGAGATCCATGTTTCTGTGGGATGATCAGGCTGCATAGGAGGACTTATATGCGCATCACATACAAAGTATATTCATTACTTCTCGGGATGGAGGTCGAGTGCATGGCGCAATCCTAGATGGAGCTCTTTCAGAAATTGAATTTAACCATCTTGTAGATCTCGAGCAGAGCTATCAGATGGTATAAACTGCAGGTCGAGCGAACCATTTTTTAAAGAGTTATGGCGAGCCGACGGTTTGCGACGGTTTCCGACCGTCGCAAACCGTCGATTGAACAAAAATTAGTAGCGGTATTGTAGAGACATGCAATGCCGAGAACCAATAACTTTGCGCCCAACATTTCATTCACCATCTCCTACCCTACGATTCTGCATAAAAATCATCCATGCTGAAGAACTGGTCAGTGCCGAGCAGTTTGCCCGCAGAACAGCCTTGATCAGACTCTCCAGGAATGTTACACTGCTTGGCAAGATTCGAACGCACCATTACAACTACCAATTGAGCAGTACTACTACCAAACCACAATCTCCCTTTACGTCGCATTTTGCCCATCAATCACTGCTGACCTTTTGTTTGTTGCTTCGGTAACTGAGCCACCTCAGCATGCCTCCTGGATCGAGAGTGAAATGTAAAAGCTACTGCACTTAACTTTCTTAAAGACCACAATGCTTACAACCGACAGAAAGGGCTGCAGCACTGACAAAGCGTAACTAATCGGTAGCAACTGACCACTGTTCTACGTTATGGAGCGCTACAGTCACCAAAAGAACTAATAAGTGACCCGAGCAGTAAAAATTCCCCGTCGTTTTCATTTCACTCACAAGTTTCTTAAAAAACCAAACAAAAACAACAATAAATGCGTAATCAACAAACGCTCTCGAACAGTCCTCTCTGCAACCGTGCCTTCATCCCAGGCTTCATTGATTCTACGAGCAGATGCAGAAGCATTCGAGCTCAACTTGCACTCATGCAGCGTGGCAATCTTTTTTTGCTCGCGTGTAAGCTCCAGAGTGAAGCAATACACAAGTGTTGTACATCAAAATGTACAACAGATTGTGCGCCTTCAGAATACATCATAGGCTTTGAAAATGATCAGAAAAAAAAACAAGGAGCCATCAGCCTGAAACCGCGGATAATCTATGCTTAACCTAATATAAGACAAATGCATGGCAAAAAGGCTGCTCGGGATCATTTTTGACCTTCTACGTACACATCTCCGATGCTAGAGGTCTAAATCGAGCTTTGAGGTCTGTTGACCAATCGTTCCCCCATAGCCGCACGAATCGATTTTACCCCAGACTTCCACCACTCGTTTGCTCCTACATCTATATCAGCCTACTTCTTTTACTGAATAAAACTCAGATACATCAATATTCGCTCCCTAGAAGTCGTGGACACTTTTCACATCAACGGAGTGTAGGGAAATGAAGTGCTCACCCCAACATCAGACGTACTGTCCAGTACTGAGTATACTAAGCCCTTTTGCTCTTCAACTACTTCTTCGGCACTTCCCCGTTACCTACCATAATCTCTTCCCAAAAGCTTGATGGAGCCGTCTTACAAGCGAGCTTTGCGCACACATCGCCAGCGCCCAAAGGTGCTATCGCCATGCAGCCAGTCACTACATGCTGCCGACTGAAAAATCACAAACACAACGAACACTTCGTCGGGCGACGGCGGCCGCCAAGTCCGCTTCGAGTCGGGTGACGAGCCCCGCCTGGGCGACGGTCTCCTGCCGAAGTTGCGCCAGCTCGACGTCATTCTTCGCCAACTGCTCTGAAACAGACGAAACACATCACGGAATTCAATAGGAGCCAACAATCACCCACACGCACACGCCCATGCTCATGCTCACCACCTCACACTCGCAATTCTGAAATCGTGCAGCTCTGAGAGCGGGAATGGACACAAAAAGGCACACGAACACAGCGAGAACGACTGCTGAAGTGGCCAACCAACGGAAAGAATATTTATGAAGAGAATTAGCACAGAAAACAGATGAGATCGCGTACAAATCAATTACAATTACACAAAAGAGACCATCTGAACACACAAAAGTTTGAGATTTCGACTAGAACACCTGTACACCGAGATCAGGACTGTGATGGACGAGAACCAAGAAAATAAGAGTGAAGAAAGCCGCCGGGAGGAACAAACAATCAGTGAATAAATAGAATGACTAGGCTCCAACTAGATGATCAACACGAGGTATTTATACTATGTAAAATGTAGAGAGAAATCTCTAATAAAATCAGTAACCTGCGTTTATAGTCCCGCGACGCGATGCTAAGCGACTAGGGGGGCATCAGGCACCTGTTCGCGATAAGGATTAAAAACCAAGGAAATAATGCACCGCGGAACTACAAACCAGGCTTACCACTAAAAAGTGATATATAAGTAAGTTCGGTGAATATCGTCTGAAAATGGCAATCAAAATGTACAAACGATTGTTATGGACGCAGCAGTGCAGTCACAAATGGAATGACATGAGAAAACACCAAAAATGGAAAGCATCCACAAAGGGAGCAAGAAATTTTGAATCGCAAATGAAATCGACAAGAATCGTCAAATATCGATTGGGCCATTTTAGCAGCACCGAACACGACGAACCTCCGGCCGCCGCCAATGCTGAGCATAGGTATCGATCGCAAAAAAAGCACTTTTTCATTTGGACGCGCAGCCGCAAGTTCGCCGACCGCAAACCCCGAATCTTCAATGAAACGGTATGCAGATGACATCGTTAACACCTTCTCGACTTCCCGTCCGCCCTATTTTTAACGAAAAACTGCAGCGAAAAGACATGGCCAAAAATAAATAATCTACCGTTGAGAACTTCCTCAGTTAAAAGAAATGTGAATTAAAAATCACGCAATCCGCCTATGACCCCTTTGACGCGGCCAACATTCGCATTTTCGCCACTGCTCGATCCAACTGGCTGGCCTTTTCGCTGCGCTCTTCAGAAGAGAACAGCGGCGACGACGAATTCGCCGCCGCTGGGCGCTCGTCAGTCCCAGAGAGCACCAGCGACGAGCTCGCTGGCCGTTCCTGGGTCGGCGTGAACAGGGGAGTCGCAGGAACAGGCACCATCGTTGGAGGAGCCTCGTCGAGAAGAGCGTATCGCGACGCGTTCTCGAGAATCGCGTGCAGGTCCTGAAAAAGTTACTCGTATGAAGTAATTCGGTTTATAAGTGAGAAAAAGATGCGTCAGAATTCATGATGGGCAGGAATCTCACAAGAAAACTACGACTTTCAAGGCAGAGGGTACGAAAAATTGGATGTTAAATAAAGGAAAATTTCCCTACTGAAAAGGAAGGCTAGCCCGCTAACAGTAGGAAACTTGTCGCTTTGGGCCGCCGGGATCGGTCTGGTAGGATCTTGATCGTGGCGACCGCCGCCTCCAAGGAATATCTCCTGAATGCCCTCTAAAGCGTATCCCTTCAAGCGGCCTAGCTGTAGTTCGTGTACGTGAGCGTTATCGAGCAAAACATGCGTTTGCTCGAACGATACCAGCCATAAGCAGTGGTGACTCGTCCAGCTGAATCTGCTTGTTCAGCAACTCGTCCAGGAAATTGGCAGACAGCAATGGGGCTCCATTTCGCAAGTTCTAGACCGATTTCCGCTTTACCCTTCCGGCGGTATCCAATTTATTGTCCCATCTACACTGAAAGCAAGGCGAGCAAACATGAAAGCAGTGTGCTGAATAGCAGAAACTGCATGAAAGCAGCTATGGAGGGAAAAAGCTGACCTTCTAAAGATGCTTTTGATATAATTTATAACCCGCGCAAGGCAAGGTTACCAATATCACAGCACCTGACGCACTGCTTCAACTCGCATCGTGTTATATTAAATTGAGCGAATCTCCTACCTGCTGCCAATTCTTGCTGGTTGGGATCGATCCAACCGCTGGCGGGTACACTTTTCCTTCTTTCAGGCTCGCTTTCTGTCTCGTTCGATGGTTGTGAAACCAGTTGTTTACCGTTCGGATGTTCAAATTCAATTTCAACGACAACTAAAAAGAAAACCTGTTAAACACAATTCAACTTAATTCGGAACTTTCTCTCCACACTGGTAAGAGCTTTCGAACTGGTAAGTGACCCACCAGCTCGACGGTCTTTTGGCTTGGATGATGCTCGTGCTGAAAGACAAACCGCAGCGCCTCTTTCTGCTGTTCGGTGATTATTGTACGCTTAAACTAATCGTTTTGTTACTTCTCCGAAAAAAGGATGGCCTTTTAGAGAGCACAAACCTGCACTTTTCGAGGTGGCGGCTCGTAAGGCGGCTCCGAGGAACGCTTGCCATTGCCGTTGACGAGGTTTCTCTCCAACGGGAGCCCAGCGTCGATCTGTAAGAGACCGCATCCATAAAATACTCGGGACGAAAGAAATTGATAGCGACGTACCCGCTCCCTGACGAGAAGTCTTTGAACGGCTTCCTTGTCGGCCAGCCACGCCCTCATCTTCTCAAAAGGTTCACGTCCCCTGACGGAAAGCGTCGACCACCGTCGCGGTCGCAGGAACAGCTCCGAACATCCGCCCGCCGAGATTCCAAGCACCGCTTCACCAAAGAGCTAAAAAAATTCTAGTATGCTTCATGTTTCTAAAAGGAAAAGACATTAGGCAATCAACTGACTCGCTGTGAGATCCCATGTAAATGAAGACGGTCCTTGACTTTTCGCACGAGAAGCGCTGTGTCGACCGCCTCGGCCTCTCCTCCAGAATCCGCCACATCGTCTGGCGTGCCGGTGCTCATCGTGTCGAACTCGGACCGTGGCAGGGCGATCACGTCCTCGTCCTCCTCGATGATTTCGCGCTTCACCTTCACCGTTGGAGTCGCGTCGCTTTCGCTGGAGGGATCCTTGTCCTTTGCACTTGGCGCAACTGAAACACACCTACGTTGAGAACACCTGCAAGGCATTTGGTCTTCTTTTTGACTCTTGTTGTCGACGATGGATTAAAACCGATCGAAGGATCTCACCTGAGTCATCGCTCATTTGCACCTTATCGAGTTCTTGCTGGAGATTGCCCTTGTTGGCCGACTGAGACACCTCACGCATGAACAGCTTCATCCGTATGAATGGTTCTCGGCCCTTCTGGGTCAACATGTTCCACTGCTTCGGACGAGCCAACAAGTCAGACACCGAGCCCTGAACGAATTTTCAGTTTTATATTGTACAACCAAGGATATCAGAGCGTCCTAACAATCAGGGGTGTTCCGACGCCCTTCATTACCACCTCCTTGCGTTTGTCCCGCTTATACGAAGAACACTGGCGCTCAATAAGTCATGTGCCGCGTTCATAACGCTGCTTGACGCTCTTGGAAGCACAGGGTACGATGAGCAGGTTGTTGACGGAAAATGGAAGGGTGCTGTATGGCCCGGTAGTAAAAAAAATTGGAAGGAGATGGGCAAATCCTGTAAAATAAGCCACCATTGTGGCCGTCAAAGATCGAAGTGTACGCACAATCAAAAAAAGGTCAAAAAGGAGATGAGGCACCAACGCACTGCGGCATCCCACACTTGACCCGTCCAGTCGGGGCGGGAGGAGAGGAAGTACAATTCGCCTTTTTTCGGTCTTTAGAGACCTTTTCCCAAATCCATGAAACGCTTGCACGAACATCTTGCACCACTCAATCAATTAGGTATACTATTTCTATGCCAAAAATCTGTAACCACCGCCATTCACGAAGGCTCAAATTTTCGCAAGGAGGACTACCTCGGAAAGTTTTTAAATAGTAAACAAATCGCAAAACAGCAATAATTGGTGAAAAATCCCACCTGACTCAAGCCCAAGACGTGTTCGCCGAACTGTCGTTGTGAAATAGAATTCATCGATAGGAACTCCTTTATCTATAAAAAGAACATTGGGAACCAAGCTTTCCGCAAAATTCTTGACCCAGCCTATAAAAATTCATAGTGGAAATAAAAAAGGAGTATTAAGCGCTACCTGTCTGACAACGTCGTCCGTGTCAATGTGCCCGAACATTTCAAACTGCTCCTGCGTTATCGGCGATAATCCGACGCGCATTCGAGTATTCATCACCTACAAGTGGAATACCATTTTATCAAATATCACATGGCAAATGGTTTTATGCGAGCAGTGAAAACGAGGCGAACATGTTGTGAGGCCTGGTGCCACAAGATCAACAGAGCGTTCAGATACTCGTAAAATATAGCCATTTTTGGGGAGGAGGTCCGAAAAAAGGGGCACTCTTGACATTGAGGTTTTGTCAATGGGTGAATGAAAAGCAGATAGACAGCCAGCTAAACAAAGACGAGCTTACCTGGTGGGCATGGCTGATGGAGGCCATTCTCTCGTTGTGAGACATTTCGTGGTACGACGGCGATGTGTCTTCCGACTAAATAATTCCACTTAACACCGCGTGATTTCACGCCCCAAAGTAAACAAGGTAAAGAGATATGGCAAAATCCTTACCCGTCTGTGACCGTTCCCAAACGACCTTGTTGCTATTGCTCGCTCCAATGTGGACTCCTAAATAAGGACAGCTTTGACTCCACTAAACAACCCCTACACGAAAATGGATAAGCTGTACAAGAAGAATAAAAAGAACCTAGAGACGGTTATCTTACCTGCTCCCTTAGCTTCGCCAACTCTGTCTGGAATATACTCATGATTTTCTCCTTGGGGATGTCGTCATGGCGCCAGCGACTGTTGCGAGTGGTCGAGCCGGCATTGGCAGCCTGGTTCGTGCCCGCCAGACGATACTGAAAACATCTACCGCTTACCACACCTACGAGTAATCTTTCCAGCTTTGAATTGTACCGAATCCGAAATAGCAAGGTGTCCAATAACACCATTAACAGGTAACGACTCATAGCTCAATGGTTACCTTATTTGTTGCCTCGCAATCGTCGGTCTCGGAAACCACAATTTTTTCGGACTCTCTCTCTCTAGCATTTTACAAATATCCCAGTTATGAGTTATATTCTCAAAAGAACTTCTATAGGCAACCGCACCTGGTCCTCACGAGCGCTGGCGGCCCGTTTGAATGAATTCTCGTCAGGTTCCTCGGCTGGGAGGAGGCCGCTGTTCCCTTCCCACAGGGATTCCGGTGTCGGATGTTCAATACGAACTTCTAGAAAGATATGAAAGTATTTTTTATATTCAAAAATTGCATGAAAGTTTCCAAGTTGGTTCAGGCTAAGACTAAGTCGAAACAAATTGAGGCTTACCACTCGGCCAAACACGACGTGGGCTTAACGAGCACAACAAATCGACAGCTTCGGCGTCCGAAATCCAACCGTATATCCGCCGGAAGGCTTCTCGTCCTTTGTCGGTGAGCTTGCTCCAGTGTCTGGGCTTAGAGAGCAGCTCGCTGAGGGACCCTTGCGACTGAAAATTTAAAACTTATCCCGGTAAATGAGGTAAAATGCGCCATGCAGACGACACAAGCCAACTACACACATTGCAAGGGCAGTCACTCATTTGTTCCTGGCCCGCGCAATGCCAAACCATCCTTCTTCGTAGGAATTCCGCTCTATCCACTTACCCTGTTTAGTCCCCTCCTCCATCCTTGGTGACAGGCTGCCCGAAGATAAGCTATCCTTGGCACCGACTTCTATTACTCCTTCCCACCCTCGGCTGTCCATTGACACGCTCTCTCTGGCTATTCATCAAGCAATTACTGTGCCTGGTTAAGACATCTCTGTACTACTTTTTCTTCACCCCTGTACCCCTCTCTAGAGAGGTTTCTAAGTCATCAGCTCTTACGATTCTCGATAACC